GACAAGCTGATGGAACAAATCAGGGGGAGGTGGCCTTGGGTGGACAGGCCAAGCAGGGGACAACTGGGAATGGCAGCGCACTGACTAGCCTCTCGGTCCATCTGCTTAATTCTAACACAGACAAAGTCTATCCAGGAGCCCTGACCCTTGCAGCCACGAAAAGTGGCCGGCAGGCCAGGTTGCATAGTGTTCAATGCACACAATCCATGTGTTTTCAGAATGGCCTGAAACACAGAGCGATCAGATTGGGAGGATCCCGTGGTCAGTTTGCCATCACAGCCAACAAACTGAGAGTATCCTACGTGCGGAGGGTCATGGGCCAGGCTAGTATTAAAGTCACCAACTAAGATCAAGGTGTTACGAGTGGGCAGGGAAGCAATACAATCATCAAGCATCTGAAACAAGTCCGCTCTAGCGCGGAGATCTTGTGGGGTGGCTTGGAAAGTTTTCTGATAGCAATTCAAAACATCCAAGGGACGATCCAGATGAATTCTGAGATGAAGAAGTCTACCCTCCCAAATACTACGCCAAGAAATTTGGTGAATCTGGCAGAACGATCGTCGAACCGCGATTAAGACCCCAGTAGCCTGACGTGGGATACCGCCTACAGCTATAAAATGCCAGTTCTGGTTGGACCACTCTCGGGTTCCTTGCCAGCGAATTTCTTGGAGGACGAGCAGCTGCAAGGGTTGCAGAGCCGCCCACTCCAATATCTCCTCCAGTTGCACTCTGCTGAGACCACTGCAGTTCCAGCTGAATATGTGGACTCGATTCCTCGGATCCGAACGTGCTGGTGTCAGAGGTGGGGCCACGGGGGAGGGCTTGTTATTAGGACGTGGACAGACCTGAGTACCAAGTTCTTTGGCATCAAACAGACGACCACGAAACCATGCATATCCCTCAACCCTGGCACGTTTGACGGCCCTCCGAAAGCTCCTCTTATGGTTGGAGACCAGGTGATGGTCTCGAACAGTGGGCGTGGATCCATGTGTTTTTGCGGTTCCCCAAGAGGGGTGGACCGCTCCCGTGACAGTCATGGACCTGTCACAACCCTCACCTTTGTCTTGCTCGAATGGAAGAGTGGGACTCCTACCTAGATTGCAAGACCCGCGGACTTGGGACCACGGACGAGACATGCGGTCGAAGTGGGAGGCCTCCCTGAGCTGGGATGCCATCGAGTTCTCAAAACTGCCGAGGGTACTAATCAGCCTCCAGAGAAAATGAAGGTGAAGCAGCAAAGGCAGCAGTGTGTTCATCGGCCCCTCGAGCTCGTTGGCGCTGCACGCTCAGCGCTCATGTACGAGCACCACGGGAGGCATCGGAGAGCTATCCATCGAGCTCTTGTCTCGTAAAGGCTTTTGCGCCTCCTGCACGGCCTTTCCGGTTGACGCACGGCTTCGTGAATCATTCCCTTTAAGATCGTAGGACTGAGTTGGAAGAGCCAGAAACTGAGTCAAGACGCTTTCCGGCACTTTCTGAAGACCATCCACAGCAAGTCTGAGTTCAGTACTGTCCCATCTTTCACTCTCAATGAGCTGCTTAAGCCGCGGATACCGGTAAAGTCCTGACCGAAACAAGCGCAGGTAAAGATGGCGCACGGCACCAGGGAAGAACGGATCATCAAAAGTTGAAACAGTTGCGTTGGCTGAGGTCTTCTGCTCCTCCATGAGAGAGTGGGTTAACGCCCTGCCTGCGACAACTGCATGTCGGCAACGATCCATACGTAAAAATGCGGCAGGCGGCCAGTGAAGACCCTGCAAGGGCAGTCTGCTGCTGAGCTGAAAAGATGGGCACGACTCCCTCCAGCAAGACTTCTTTCGATCTTGTTCCAACGCAGAAAGTCTTCAGAGCTTCCACGGCATACTGATCTCCATCCGCAGCATTCCTCAAGAGTGCTACAAAATAGACAGAACTCTGACGCTTGGAAACGCCGCGCTCAGCGGAGAAGCCGCCATGCTTAGTCAGCTCGGTTCCGAGTGCGGACAGGAACGTTGGATCGCCTGAACGATACCAATCCACAGCCAACGTCAAATCAGTCAATAATTGATCCCTTTTAAGAGCTGGCCATTCACAGGCTGACCAACCTTGGACGAAAGCATCCAAATCCGAAAGCGTCGGCCTGTACACTGCGCAAATCGAATGCGCGTGTTTCAGAAGGGCCAAGACCCGCGTTTTTTTTGACGCCTGGATTTTTGCGGCTTTGAAGACCTTGTCGTAAATGCGTTGAGGCAGGATATCCACTGCAGCTTGTGTCACGATCCTGTCAACCGAGAACTCAACTTCATTTCCCGATCCATCAGATTGACATCGTGAGACCTCACTGCGTGAGATGCCGGAGAGTTCTTCTGTATAACGCGGCGAAAGCAGCAAATCACGTAAGGACTCCAAAGTCCGCTCATTCAAATCCGGATCAAGACCAGATTCCACTTCAATATATCCGGCCAAGAGGTCTTTGAACCGGCAGAATTGAACGGACAGAAACCGAATCAAGGCTTCATTTTCAATTTGAGTTCTGGGAAATTCATTCCAAACCCTTTCCCAGAGATCCAATTTCTGCCGTTGGGTTTCTACGTCATCCTGGCTTGTCCTCTTCCGCCAACGGATACGGAGTTCATCCAAAGGCAATTTGCAACAAAGGAGAGGCAAAGTTACTCCGGCGACAACGTTCGTAAACACGACTCTGGGCTTCCTCTCCAAACTGTCGTAATATCTTACCAATAAATCCCTGTAGAGGACGTCGTCAACAATCCCTTTGTTGAACCCTTCCATCCACATCAAGACATCCTGTGCCAAATGACGCGGTGGATCAGCAAAAACCTGGTCCAGATCAACAAAATCATCATCCTCATCCGGGAATCCAAGGAAAGAGATTATCTGCTTCGCTGTGAAGTGGAAATCATGAGGCAAGCGAGCTGCATAATCCCGATAAACCTCTTCCAAGCTCCGTCGTGTCCTGCAAGCAATGCAGAGCAGAGCGCAAAGAGTAGATTTACCACTTCTGGGAGCAAGTGCTACAACAGCTGAAGAGTGAAACGGGTTCAAAACACTTAGGAGTTGAAAAAAAAAACGTTCAAAAATCATTATCCTAGGTTGAAATCACAATTCCAAGCGGTGGCCATCATGTACCCAACATGCGCTCATGTATATGGTTGTATGTTGTGTATGCCCTTTTAACAGCTGCGTTCTTACTTACAGAGTCCAATGGTTCCAAATGTGAAGCTGAAAGTAGCCATCCTCTTGCACACAGAAACAAATTGCCAAGACTATACACCCTGGAAAGCACTTGGACAAGTGGTCAAAGTTGCAAAGGGGTCTAGCGCGGATCTAGCGCGGGTCTAGCGCGGATCTAGCGCGCTTCCCTGCCAGTGCATGAGGCCACCAAACGTCTGTGATCAAGAACTCGCTTTCTCGTCTCTCAAACAGTTACTCCCTTTCAAACAGTTGCTGCCTTTTTCAGCGCGCGCTGCCTTTCAAACAGTTGCTGCTCTTGTGCCTGTGCGGGTGTGTGTGTGTGTGTGTATGTGCACCAATGAGTGACCGTTACAATCAGCTCTTGTTTGTTAATCTTTTCTAAGTTACCTAAGTACTTGATCCTAGCGCCGAACCTAGCGCAACCCTGCGTTTTGCTAGCGCGACGAGGTAACATACCCACTTTAAACATCAGAATACCAAGCGGTGGCCAAGCGATTTCTGAACCTCTGGGAACATTCCTTACTTAATACATATTCCCGGGTTTTTTTTCGACTCGAAGCAACCGATCTTGTCTGAGATGGCTTCTTTCGCATCATCAACTCAACCCTTCGAAACCCTTCAAGCAACTGTTCGTGCTGCCTTTTGAGGTCTTGAAATTTTACAAAGGTTGACCGAAAGAACTTGACGTTACTAACTGCATGTACGCTAGGCCATGCGGCCCAAGCGACAACATGTTCAGCCAACCACAACGTTAGAAGGGTGAGAAACTTCCATCGAAGGAGAAAACCTCCGATCTCGACAATCTCATTCCACGGTGAAAAAGATGCGACGAACCGTGAAACGACGGTCCAAACAGAACCACCGCCCACGATGACAGAAAACGTCGCAGCCAAGCCGTGAAAGGCCAAGAGGAGGTAAAGAAAAGCCCGGCACAGTATCAGGTCCATCGCGACCCGGCTGGGGTCTTCACTCCCTTCTTCCCTTGAGCCAAAATGGCAACAACAACAACAACAACAACATGTGACACGACGAAAGGGATGGCGCCTCATTTCCGCACACATAATTCCCCTCAAATCCGCACAAAGACTTTTTTATATATTTACCTCAAATGCGCACACATGATTCCCCTCAAATCCGCACACATCGATTACATTCCTCTTTAAACAGCCCATGTTACCCCAAACTCAAATGCGCACACATGATTCGCCTCATTTCCGCACACACCAATTCAGTCATGATGATCTCTTTTTGCTCATTGCTTCGTTTGATTGATGATGTGTTAATAACGTCCCTCTGGACATTCATCTACATGATGATCTCTTTTTGCTCATTGCTTCCACAGGTTCACGTCACACAGACGCTCTGCGTTCTTCATTCTTTCATGTCAACTAAAGATTTTACATCGTTTTGTCCGCGGACGTAAAATGAGACAACAAGGTTCAGATTGTGACACAAGCTGGTCCAGTTCCATTCATTCATTCATTCATTTTTTCAGCCGTGTAAGCCGCGTGTACAAACGAGGGAGCCGCGTGTAAAAACGAGTTTCGCGTGTATAAACGAGATCAATTCTCCGCGTGTATATTCGAGGGAAATTCCGCGTGTAGAAACGAGGCTCCGCCCCTCAGAAAAGTCTAAACCGGCAACTAGGAGGCAGGGACCCCTGGAACATCACGTAGATTCCAGACCCTAAGTAGTTGAGGGTATAAAAGTCCGTCTACCCTAACAACCCTTGAGGATGTTTTCCAGCTTCCAGGGCTCCAGAGTTGGATCTACCCCTTCGCCCTGATGCGCCCGGATGCGCCGGGGTCCGCCATGTCCGAAGGCGGATCGTTCCACGAAGGGGAGATCGCCTGCTCCAGGGTTTATGTTTCACAAACTCCAATGAAGGCTAAATGGAGGGTGTGTGGAGAAAGGGGGTCAGCAAAAATCGCTTATACGAAGTTAGTGCATCAAAAATACCTGCCACGAAGTTCTGCGAAGGTTTCTGGAATTTCGTTGCAGTCAGTTCTCCTACTGGCCCACCATTCCACGAACTGTCCACGAATAGCCTTGGGTTCTACAAATGTCCCACGCCTTCCACGATGTTAGTATAGGGGCCCCTATAGAATAGGTTTTTGCAAAACCCTTTCTGGGCACTACCCTTCCGTTTGCCTCTGATCCAAGGAGAACCATCAGCAAATATCAGTCAAATGATGCCGAAGTAGTGATGCACCAGGCTCCCTGAAACGACGAACCAAAGCCCCTCCCATCGCTCCCTCCCTGCGCCCCTGGGCAATTCACACCGACCCGGGGCGCGACCCAGCGCACTCCGCGCGGATGCCGCGCCTGGCCCTGGACACCGATGTCCGAGAAGTTCCTGAACGGCCCGCGGGGGTAGGATGGAACGAGCCACGGCTCCCAGGAACCGAGAAAACGAGATCTTCCCCGAGAATCCTCGGGGATTCACCCAGTTCGGCCAGCACCTATACCACATCACCTTTTCATGTATAAGTCAATAAGCAACGGCGCCATGGTGATTTGTGCATGGTCAGACCTCCGGTGGTGCACACTCAAGGTCTGGAGTCACATGGACACCGAATAAAAAATGAAGTCTGGAACAGTCTAGAAATGTCTAGAGGACCTGCACTCAGATTTGGCTAAACTGCGGCTGGTCGCAACCTAGACCTTTCTAGCCATGAAACATCGCAGCATGGCTAAAGAAAATGCTACCATTGTGACATGTTGTGCCCGGTTCTGATGCTTGATGCTCCTTCCGGGGAGGGGGGGGTGGGTGGGGTGCCAAGCTTCCAAGCGTCCAAGCTTCGACCTGACACACCGCTCCACAGAAATGCACGGAGGTTGGCCTTGCAAGACCTTCCAAAGGTAGGGCATTGGAGCGCCCCCGCCTCTGGGTTTTTTGGCTTAAACCTGCTTCAACGAAACGGCTTGAGCACATGCCCCTGGCTATAGCTCAATCTTCTGTATCGATCAGTTGTTGATTTGGTAGGGTTTTGCCAGTTGATCAGATCTTGATCCCCCAAAAGCACCAGAGATCACCCGAAGTCACCGTCGACCTCAATTCCGAATCCACGGACGGACTGACTACCGCTCCTGAGCACTTGCGGTAAGCAGTCCGGGTTGAAGTTGCTCCGAGTCACCTGGGCTCTGGGCTTCGGTCACGGCGCGAAGCTGCGGGCGCTTCTGCTGCGGGCACGGCGCCATGCGACGGAACGGTTCACGGAGTCTTCGTGAGAAGCGGCACTCCCCGAAATCGTCACCATGATGTCCGATGCCATCCACTGTCACCATGATTTCAGGGAGCTTTTCCTCCCCCCGATTTGGGGTTTCTCCAGGTTCGCGAAGCACAACCCGCCAGCCAGACCTCCTCCACCACCACGCCGTGACCGACCGCCGTGTTCGGCTTGAACTGGGCGGCCCGAGCGTTGACGCATGGCAAGGCCTCGGGATTTGGGGCATAAGCGGGTAAGGCGAGCAGCCCGCTCAGGCTGCTCAGCCAAAGGCGCGACATCGAGCTGAGTGGAGGATGATGAGTAGCTGAGCCGGCGAGTTGGACAACTTATGATGCTTGTTGCTTAAATACTGTATCCACGATGATCGAACAAAAACTGGAGCACGTGCAGTGCTTACCCTGAAGTTTTGCAGAGCAGGTGTCTAGGTCGTGCATAAGTCTCCGCAAAGTGCTCGCAAAGATTCCTTGTTGATTTGTCTTGAATTTTGATGGTGACTGGGTTTTGCCAATACCGTCAGTCCTGCAATGAGTGCCTCACGGGTACGGTTGTTGGAAGGATGCTGTGCGCATCAGTGTTCTTCTGGGTCTGAGGATCTACGATTGGGTCGCTTTACTTCGAGCACGCGTGCCAGTGTGTTCCTGCTTTCAACATAGGCGGCCACTTTGGGCACTGAAATAAGCCACAACGTTTCGTGGAACCACGGTGCAGGCAAACAAAACATCGCCCGCGCCCCAACACAGGTGCAAATGTCTTCAAAACCCTGTGCACCTGAGCCCTGCTTTTGTGTGATGCATGGTTGCAAACGACGCCACAAACAAAAACATCGGACAGAAAACATTAACAAAACACAACTCCAGGTAGAGCTTGTGAACACTACCCTCCTGCAAATGGGGGCCGGCTGTGTGTCAAAAGTCAAACAATCCCACAGTATCAGTATCCAATGACACTTTATCCTCGCATATGACGGCTTTCCTTTTTTGTTGAGCTTATTCACTTGAGGAATGGTCATCTCATACACGAACTTTGCAGCCTCCCTGGCTGTCGAATGGTGGGGCATGTATTTTTCAGAAAAAGGGTTGCGTAGGGTTGCTGTGCCGGTGCTGGGACACAAGTCGCATAAGATTATAAGTTGCATGTAGAGTCCGCTGCTTAAGTCACTTTTGATCCGCTTTTGAGCTCTAAAGGCTATAGCCTGAGAAGCAATCTTCTGGTTTTCTGGGACGTTCGCGCATGTAAACCTATTTGGAGCCATCGCTCCACCTCATTCGCTTCATTTTTGGGCACCGGTGTTAGTGAAAAACACATTTTCCTCTGCAAACAGGGGGTGCCATCCACTTCCATGTTATTGAGTCGGAGAGTACATGACAGATGTGCCACTGTGCCATGACAACCCCAAACGGATCCAACTCCAGTAGACCTTCAGTCGCTTGATTCTCCCTTGCCCTCTTCCTCCATTCCATTCCCATCAATCCGACTCCAAACAGGTCTCCGAAAGAGAGCGGTTGCAAGAACTTGCGGCAAAGAGATTAAACTGTCAAGGGAAAGACCCTGAGGATATATGGCTCCTAAGACTTCCACAAGCTCACACATGTTCTTTTGCCCAACGTCTGTGTTTTAAAAAGGGAACAGCGATGCACAAGTGAGATCAAGTGGAACCACCCTTTTTGTATATAAAGGAGTGCCATCTTCTTCTCAGGATTTCTCAGGGCAATCTCGACAAACAGTATTTGGAGGGCAGCTCAGCCTTGGAATGAGTTTCCAAGACCATCAAGTTGATTTGGATACCTCTGAGCAGGTTCAAGTTCGAGCTTGTGAATCTTCATGAGTCATGAGACCTGCTTGAAAGAGTACAATCCAAACATCATATGACATCACCCCACAACTTGCTCCATGGCACCCACTGGCCCTTTGGATGTTCACCTGTTTGGTCCTCCAGTTGGACAAAACCTCGTCTCGTCTCCTGCCATTGGGCACACACCAAGCGCTTGCAGCTCCATGGCGTCCGGAGGCGGGTCCAAAAGCAAAAGCTTTTAGGGCGCTGTATACTGTAGAGTCCTCGTGGTATACGGTAGATGTGTCTCTTGGTACATGTGTCTCTTGAATTCTCTTGATAGCTTTCGCTGTAAACAAATATCATCGTCTGCTCTACGAACTGCTCTGTAATTCTATACAGACAGCACGATCAAAGCCCTTGGGCTCTTCGATCTTTTGTCTTCTCTGGAAGGTGGATGAGCTCCCATGACACGGGTCATAGAAAAGGTGTCGACATCTGTTGACCCAGGAAAGAAACTTCACCCACGCAGCATGCGTTCGAACAATGAAAGTATAACACTACTTTAAGACCATACTAAATAAGAAAGACATACTTAATGTACACTACTCCTTTGTTCTGTCTGCACTACTTAATGTAACAATACTGTTTGGGAAATCGCCGGTCCAAACGAAAAAGAACGACAACATTCCATTGATCACTGGAGCGCAAGTTGAGTAGTTGTATCGCGAGCCAATCGTCGCGGGTGGGATTCGCGGATTCGCGCGAGCGACATCCCCCAGAGTGGCCCCGAAGTAGGGATGCGAAGTGCGTGTGAAAAAGGGCGGAACTTCAACCATGTGGAGAAGTCCAAACCAAGTGTTTCTTCGACTGGGGGTTGAACTCCCTTCCTGGGGCTTTTAAGTCATTTTAAGTCTTTTTCGACGTTCCTAAAGTGATTGACCTTGCCATGGCTTTCCAGTGGTGACTTGGGTGCATTAAAATATAGGGAGACCTCCCAGTTCGAGCCACTGCCCCTTCTTGTTTTTTTCCTTTTGCGGCAGTGGCCAGTCACTCAGTGCCCACGAGACTAGGTCACTAGGTGGAGCGATGCGACGTCTAGATCCTCGGAGTCTCTTCTTTCAGCACGGCACCACGGAGCTTCTCCGGTTTCATTGGAGGCGGCACAGCCCTACACTTCCAGGTTTCAGGCAGTGTGAACCTCTTTCTCCGCCCGAAGTCTGTCGAAGTCATTGCGGGGTGGCTCTTGAGGTACGCGACAAGGAACATAGTGACAAGGAACATTTAAGACATAGATGACATAGATGTTCCTTGTCACGGCACCGCGACTTCCCATGATGTGCTCCCCCCAACCTCTTGCACGATCTCTCTGCCCATCCGACACGTGATGTGCAGGGGTCTTTCAGGATCCTCAAACCCGACTTCACAGTTCACCTTCCCCTGTTCATCCCTGTATTTCTAAGTCTCCAAGAGCCTTGGGGAGGAGATCTGCAAAGTCTTACTTCTCCTGGTAAAAGAGAATGACACGAATGACTTCTAGAATAACACATACAGCTGACCCCAAGCCCGCCACTTGGACCCGCCACCTCCTGGAACCCCAGGCTTGCGCCGCTTGGAGGTCGACGCCGAGACCCGTCTCCCCGTTTGGGTCACCGGAGGTGAGCGGTTCTGGGGACGTGGTGACTGGAACTCATTTGAGGCAACGCCAACATCATACCCTTCTTGTTTGAGGTGATGCTGGGCCTTGATAGTTCACAATCTCTCTCTCTACTATAGTAGTGTTGACGAAGTATGTAAATTGTAAATGCTCCATCGGATTTCCATGGTGTGTTTGTCTTGATGCTTTCTGTGGGGAAAGTTTGGGAGACCCCCGAAATTGAGCAGAGAAATCCGATTGGTACAGGGACACCGTCAGCCCTTGACGATCCGATCCCCATCAGGAGATCAGGCACAGGGTGCCCCTGCCGGTGCCGGAGAACCAATCCCCCCAAACACACCTCCTGGGCTGTCTTCACGTCATCTTCGAAGACAACGTACTGGGCCTGGCCAATCGTCCGAACCGTAATATAGTTCATACGTCTTGGTGCCATTGTTTGGGGGGTCGGATGGCCTGAGCATCACTGGTTGTGGCAATTTTTCAGGAGTAGAGAAGGTCCAATATTATAGTTTATGATTCCGACTTTTCCCCAACCCAAGATGGGTCAAGTTGGTGCACTCCCCGCAAGCTCCAAGCAGCACTCTGGTCGATCAAGAACCAACGAGGACGAACAAATATAAAAAATGTATGTTATTATTGAAATCCACCCTTGTCATATTGAACTTAACAATTCTTCTGTAGGCCCCTGGTTTCGCTCCAGATCTGCCACATATCTTCACTCATGCGTCAAACCACCCATCGCTGCGCATTAAAACCGTTATTCATCTAAAAACAGGACACCCTGGGCTTTTAAGTACGATGCCATAAGGATTAAAAAAACACAATTAAACAATTTGCAGGTTGAGAAGTCCAACTACCATCAGGTGAAAGTACCACCCATCTTTACCCAAACACCCATCTACACCCCGAATCGACTTCCTCAGCGACATCGAGTGCCGCGGACGTCGGGTTCCCAGGCGGAACCGGGTCGCGCCGGGCACCGCCAACGCGCACGTACGCGCGCACACGACGTGCACCTCGCCCTCGCTGTCGAGGAGGCGACAAATGGTGCGACCTACCACGTTGTAGCCTTAGATTCTGGGATTTGCCAAAAGAAGGAGCTTGAAGAAACAGATGTTTGTTGCCCTCAAGCACTAGGGTTGTGTTTGAATCTGGCTAGTATTGTTCAGAAATCTTAACAGATTAAAAATTACAAAAAAGGTACAAAAAAGGTGAGCTGTGTTTTAAACGTCTTATATCCCGGCACCAAACAAGGCAACGCTTACGCCGCGTCTTACGTTTTGCTTATGCGCGCACAGTTTTGCTTGCGCGGAATATTGAATAAACCGGCTTACGCAGACCTTACGCTGGACATTTTTAGTGCCCGGCCACAGCCCCAGCTTACGTGCAGCAACTTTTACCTGCAGGAACCGCAGCGTTTCTAGGCAGCATCAAGCAGTAGAAGATGATGACGTGGACGAAGAAGATGAAGCCGATGAAGACGCAGCAACAGAAGAAGCCCGCAGATGACGAAGTTGACGACGCTTCTTGGCAGCACCTCTGTTGAGCGCGCGGGCCTGACAGACAGACTGGGCACCACTGATAGCGGACAGGCCAGGAAGGACAGATTGACATCTAGAGTCTAGAGAAAGCCTTGTTCAGCAAGAGGTGTGCTTCATCCAGAGAAGGGCAATGTCGTTCCAAAATGTCCGAGACGGTCTTTGCGACAAGTCGCTGGCGCTCTGCACCAAGTTGCGAAAATGATTTGTGTTTGGGAGACATGGGCAACTACTGGCAAAAGCAGCTTTGGCTTACGCGCCGCTTACGCGGACCTTACGCGGAATTTCCCTTCCAACCCGGAAACAAGTTTGGAGGTGAAGGTCTTGAAAAAGGTATGACACTATGGGCACATTACAGTGTTGCTGTTTCCATCCGACAGTACAGTGCAGTTGTTAAAACTCCTAGTCTTGGTGGACAATCCTTTTCATTGCGGGCTTTATCATGATTTCGTTTTCCATGCACTTCAATCTTGCAGAATCATCAGAATCACTTTCAACATGCAGCATGGAGCTTGCCGCCACTTGAGGAAACAAATGTCCAGCAACCTGACAGTGATCCCATGGATGTATGTTAAGCTGTAAGCTTGGAATATAAAAGGTTCTTTGTCCAAAACTGCCATTTCACAAATCACGAATAATCTCTTACGCCAACAACATTGGCTAAAATTGCTTACGCCCACCAGTGTTTTGCTTACGCCACAGGTCCTTACAAGGATCTCCTTACTTGACATGACAACTGAGGTTTAAAACGTGAGTTGCTAAAAGCTGCCTAAAGTCAACCTACCTAACCTAGAAAAAAGATGAAAAAAGAAATGAAAAAGGTGGCTTCCAAAAAAGGAACCGTTCTCAGTGAAGAGGCTGTCCAAGGTGCAGTGCAGGGGAGCCTTGGGAGGTTGCTCAGTATGCATCCAGCCCACCTACAAGGGCATTCGCTTGCCTGGTAGGGAAGCTTGGAAAACTTGGCATGCTGCAAAGCAATCAAAGTCCAAGTGAATTCTTTCAAGAAGGCCAGATTTGGCCACTGGTTTTTGAATCCTGCTGGTTGATGGTTAGGTATGTGGAGCTCATATGTGTATGACTTGGCATTGGGTGAGCAACTTGCCAAATGGCATTGTTGTAGGGGTTGCCAAGACACAAGCAAGAGCACCAGTTAGCTGTGAAGGCAAAAACACACTTGTTAACTGCTGCATATTTGTTGTGAACTTGTGTCAGCCTGTTGGCTTCTTTTTGTGTGCATGTGAACCTGCAAGCCTGAAGCCAGTTGGCTACAGCCTGTTGGCTGTTCCTGTTTGTTGTGCAATTTGCCTTTGGAAACCTTTAGTGCCTTCAATCTCTGAAAGTTGTGGGCTCTAAGCTTCCCTGTGTAACAACCAAACCAGAAGCTATGAATGCATGCTGTTGCAGCACACAAGCATACAAAAGTTGTACTCTGTTACCCCATAACAGAACTTCCCACATCATCTCATTGAGTTTTTGCAGTCGCATGTGCTCCAACCAATGATGTTGACTGTGCATTTACCCTTCCCATGTCCAGTCATGGCAGGGCTGCCAAACTAGCAAGGCTGCAAGACTTCAGAGGGAGGCCCCCTGCACATTCCCAAGCAGCCCTGGAAAGCATACTGAATGAGTGCAAGCAGAGTGGCATCCCTGAATTGACTTCAAGCAGGGACCAAAGGGCTGCCAGGCGACAGCTCCTGGATTCTATGCATGGAGGCCAGCTGGGCCCTCTGCTGCAGACTGCTGAAGTGCAGGCCTTGGATGGCTCCACACAGAATATGGTGTATTGCAATGCATTGTGCCACATTGCTGCATTGTATGCAAAAGGTGGAAGCTTCACTGAGCTCCTCTAAGCTTGCCAAAAGAAGAGACCCAGCTCTAGCTTTGAACCTTATTCACTCATACTGTACTCAGATGAAGTGATTCCTGGAAACATTCTTGGAAAAGCAAGCAGAAAGAGTTGGTGCTATTATTGTACATTCAAGGAGTTTGGCAAACACATCAGTGATGAGAATGCTTGGCTTTGCATTGCTATAGAGAAGAGCTCATTTGTGGCCAGCCTGTGTGCAGGGCCTGGTCAGATTGCTGGTGTGATTTTAAAGCCAATCTTTTGTGATGCACTCATAGACCCCCAATGTGGGGGACTCTTGCTGAAGCATTCCTCAGGGTCTATGACTTTGTTTTTTAAATTGGGGATTGTTGTGCAAGATGGCTTGGCACACAAAGCTTTGTGGAATGGCAAAGGCGATTCAGGTGATCACCTGCTGTGGGCAAACACACGCACTTTTACATCAACAGCCCCAAGCTCTTCAATGCAGGCTAGAGCAGAGAAATACAGTGATTTGGCCTTGGTGTCTAGCTCTGAGGCTACATATGAAAAGCAAATGTTGCACAAAGAAAGCGTTTAACCTGTGGGAGATGGCAGCAGGGATTACCTATCACCCTTGTGCATTGCTCTTGAACAGTGCCTTGTTGGAGAGGGGTGTGCTACACCCTGTTGAACAGTTTGTGCACGACTGGATGCACACAGTTCTACAAGGCACTTTGCCAATTGTGGCATATGTTGCAGTGGATGCTGTGCAATGCTGGGAGTTGCTGCACAAGCAAGTGAGCCTGTGGTCTTTTCCAAAGGCATGGAGAGCAAATGGGCTGGCAAATTGCTTTGAAGACAAGAAGCTGAAGAAATACAAGGAAAATGACAGGATATCTTTGCAGGCATCAGAGATGCTAACCTGCTATCCTGTGTTCAGATATTCCTGGATGAGCATTGTGGTACCTCAGTCCATTGCACCTGAAGCTACAGCTGCCTTCTTGGACATGAGCAACTTGGCATGTTATGCTGTTGCTGTGCACAAAACCATAAGCTGGAAGCCAGTTGGCTGCTTTGTTTGTTCTTTCAAGTCAATTCAGGCTGTGTCCTGGATTTGCTGCATTCTGGGATTCCTGCTGGCATGGTCACAAGAGATTCTTTGCTTGCAAGAGTAGAGAAGTGTTTGGCCAGCTTTGGCAAGGCTAACTTTGACAAGGGTTGGGTCAAAAAGTTTCATTGGCTCTTGCATCTGGCTGATGAATATGGAAGACACCAGATGCTCCCAAGTTGCTTTACTGCTGAGCGAAAGCATAAAGCAATTACAAAGTATGCAACTCCTATGAAATACACAGGCGCTTATGAAAGGAGTTTGCTGGAACAGGTTGTTGCACAGGAGGTTTCTGTCTTGCAGCAACCAGGTTGCTTCACAGAGGGGGTCCACCTGACACAGCCTTGCAATGCTCCCAAGAGGTGCCTCAAATGGCTGTCAGACATCTTAGGGGAAAACATTAGCCAGGCAACCACCAGTCTGGAGGCCAAACTTGAAAGTGGATGCAGAGTGAGTAAAGGAGATGTTGTTTTGTATACAAGTGTGTCCAGCACCATGCAGTTCAATGTAGGGCAGTGTTGAAAATGTGGACACTGGTGGAGCAATACAAACCTGGGCAGCAGCATGTAGTTTGCAAAGCAACAGAAAACATGGGCTTGATAGAGGCAGCCGACTTGTTGACACCAGTTGCATATGCACAAGCAAACAGGGAGAATGTCACCATCCTGCTGCCCTTTGCCATCTTTGCACATGACCTGCATGGAAAGTGACAAAATGTGTTGGTGTGATGGTTTTGTCGCTGGATGGGTTTGTTTGAAGCCTGTGGGCTGTTTGTTTGAAGCCTGTTGGCTGCCTCATGCAAGCCTGTTGGCTATGGGAAGAAGCCTGCTGGCTGTGAACAAAGCCCTTTGGCTATTGAAAGCCTGTTGGCTGTTGGCTGACATATGTTCTGGGCTATGGACAGCATGTTTGTTGTTGATGGCTATGGCAAAAGCTTTTGAAAGGCTGAAGGCTGTTGGCTGATGGCTGTGATAGCCTCTGGTGCATTGGGTTTGTTGTGTTGCTTGTCTTTTTTGTAGAAGCTGATTTTTAATAAATCAATGTTTGCCTGTTGAAAAAATTGAGATGCTAACTAGTTATAACTAGTTAACAAAAGTTATCTATTTATCTTAATTATGATAATTAGTTAGTAAAAAGCAGATCCTTTAAGTAGGTTGCGCACTTGAGCTTTATTGCGATGATCTCGATGCTCTTGTCGCCGAGGTCGGCGCCTCCCCGGCAGTACTCTGATGCGAGGATCTCTACGGCCAGCGCAGGTTGCCCTTGAGTCTCGCTAATCCTGGCTAGGCAGTGTCCGAGGCACCCAGTACGAACACATACCATGCCTGCCCTGAGATCTTCGTAGGCGACCACGTCCGCGCACACGAACTCTGACCAAGCTGTGCCATTTCTCATGTGTTGCCAAACCTTGTCGAGCGAATCCCGTCTGACACGGTTGACGAACTGGTCCCCAAAGCTCGTCCAACTACAGTCGGAGAAGGTGGTTACTATGAATCCGGGGCACTCTTGTCCGACCAGATTGAACCCTCGAAAAGCGCCCAAGCAGCCCTTGACGATGTCGTGTCCAACGAAAACATGACCCTTCGCCGCACTGTATGACGTAGCCTGAGCCTACGCGGTACACATTAACGGTACCCGGTGGAGGCAGCCTCGGCTGCAAAGGCGTATGAGTACATGACGTCGGCGCTCTCGCGTACGATGCTGTCGATGGGGACGCCCTTGCCTTTGCCGTATTTGACGTGGTTGCTGCCGCACAACCAGTAGTGGGCTCCTTCGAACAGCCTAATGATAACCCCTTTGTCCATTGTAGGTGAAGCAGCCAGGCGCTCCCGAGAGATTGCCAACGATGACAGAAGAGGCGTGGAGGGTAGCCTGCTTCCGTCATGTCTGTCGAGGCAGACCTTGTCGGCGAAGAAGCACGCGTCGAACGCCTGTTTGTCTCCACACCAGACTATGTCTCCTCACAGACCACCTCCTTGCCTCAAGTGTCCCACTTTGACGCTCCTACATCGCAGTTGTTGTTGGCGTCATTGAGCTCGTGGCGAAAGCTGGTGATGGTGCGCACTCCATCGCCGCAAGCGATGCTCCCTTCGTCGACTAAGCAAAACCCAGTAGAGTAGAAAGCCATGCCGCAAACATGCGTCCCATACCTGGATCCTCCTTTGGGCGGAAAAAGTGCCGGACCTCAATCCGGCAGATTTTTCCGCCGGATTCCGAAAAAACGCCGGAGACCTGAAAATACATCCGGATCCAAGATTCTGAAAAAACAGATGATAAAAGGTTGGATCATACACAAGCAAACTGCCTTTGTGCCACGAGTAGTTTTTTCTGGAACACACTCATTCCACAACCCAACACTGGAGCCTTCCAGTTCCCATTGCCCCCGCCCATCTTCCGAATGGCCTAAGAGCAGAACCATCACAAAATATTCGCAAACGTGTGCCCAAGCAGAGACTTCCAAGAAACTTTTAACTGTTTTTACAGCTTGCCTCAGGACGGCCCCACCAATAAAGTAGCAGAACTCATGGTTCCTGTCGAAACTCTTCTTGGAAAAACTTTTCAAAATTCAAACCTTCAGAAGACTGAGTCCAAAAAAAGCCGGAGTTACGGGAAATTACGCCGGAGTTGCGACGCGCAATTTTTTTTAAGCAACTCTCTCCAAAACAGTGAGATTCTGAACAACACATGTTCCACAGCCCAAAACTTGTCCGGCAGGCTCTGCAAACCTGCGCAGCTAGAACTATATCCCAGCGCCACGACATCCAGAAACAATGGGAGCACATGTTTGCCTATATGTTCTTTCAGCTTAGGTACACCCACTTGGGTCTTTCTTTCGCACTGTACCGATTTCACCCGATTTCATTTAGAAGATCACCTAAACGGATCTGATTGATCCAGTGTGAACCATGCTGAAGCCGGTGGAATGAGAAAACAGCGGAACAGGCAAACAAGCACGCTTTGCAAGCAAAATCATTGCACCAGCAGTGGGTTTACCTTCAAAGAAATGCGGACCACAAAGAATGCAAAGCCTTGAGAATCCACATAAAGTGACTTGGAAAAACTGCCGGACCAAATCCAGAAAAACGCCGGAGTTGGAAGTCCGGCGCCGGACCCTGCAAAAGTGCCGGACTGAAGATCTAGGTATGCATCCCATCCAAAAATGTTTGCAAAAACACAAAACACATCGTGGCACAAGGCACACTGCGTCATACACTCCACCTCTTCTCGGTTCTTCAATGGAACATGCTTTCCACATCTCTCCCTTCGCCCTCCCCCCATCTCAACATCGTGCGACCCGGGCGGCCGCAGATCACGACGAAGCCCCGGTCGTCTTTGGAGAGTCGATTCAAGCATCCGGCGCCGATCTCATCGGTCCTCAGGTGAAGATTGATAAGACCACCGGATTGGGCGAGCAACACCAGTCTTCAAATGGTCTTTTTGGAACACAGAATGGATACATAGAATGGATATCGATATGTCCCCCTGATTTTGTTTACAAGTTTATTGGAAATAAGGACGTGAAACCCTTGTTGAGCCATCTTTCACTGATATGTCCAACCGTTTGGAGCGAAAGTATCACCTTCTTGACCCCGGCAAGGGTCCAGCCAGGGGTGCTTCTGACACCGGGAAAGAACTCTGGCTCACACAAGCAGTTCCAAGGTGCAGGGCTTTGATGTACGGAACCTTTACCATGGCAGCGGAACAACCATTGCCATGACCGTTCTTTGTGGTTGTGACATAGTTTGATGGACGTGGGAACCAAACTTTGTAGCTATCTTCTCCTGACTGCCCCTATTAACACAATGTGGTACCAACCTATAAATGAAACATGGTCTTCCGGCATCTTCTGCACTGCTGTGCTCTTGAGGATGAGATGAGTTTACTTAGAAAAACACATTTCATGCAGACTTGTTCCTTTAAAAGTTCCTTTTGACTTGGGTGGGTTTATCATGAGCTTCTGACATTCCAACCCCATCCCCATCCCCCACCGTCAGACCACGACCAAGACGCCCTTCCACGGTCTTGAGACCTCGCCGCTCGCGGAGCCTCGCAAGCTGAGGAGTCTTAGCTTTTGGGGGAAAGCTCGGAGGGTTTGCCTAGTTCTGGGTTGGTTATGGTTTTGCATTCTGGATGTCAGGGACACCTGTGACAAAAAGCGATTGGCTCAGTCCCTGTGGTTTCTGGTCTTAACCTCTGTATATTGTATTGTATTGTGGTCCTCTACGAGGAACTGCAGGTGACCTGACTGAACCCCATCCCAAAGAGACGGAGACGGTGCACGGCGCACGCCGGAAGCGGCCACAACAGGTCCCATCGGCCGGACATGTTGGATGGATTTCTTCAGCATTTGAGACCGCTTGGGGGGGTGGGTCAGAGATTCTTATGGTGTTTAGATCGTTAGTTAGATATATAGGTTCTTATAGGTTGTATAGAAGGGATATAAGGTATATTATAAGAGGGTTTGTGGGACACCTGCGACGCAATGGGTTACATGATGGCATATTCTAGAGATACCTGCCACAAGTACAGAGGAATCCGCCTTGCTTGACGATTCATGTCCTGAGGTTGAAGCTGATGAAAAGCAACGACTATAGAGTTGTTCTTTTGATGGACTATAAACGTATCAGCGGCTGTTTCAAGTTCAAACTAGTTCAATGCAATGTGGCAATGTGTAATGACCAACCACCACAGCCAGCAATGCAATTGATGGGAGCGCCAACCATGACCATCCATGACCAATGACCCTGGCACCGCCCCCACCGCCTTTTCCCTAAAGGGAAAACCCAACCAGTTCCATGTCGCCCCCACCCCCCGCCCCACCTGGACGACGCAGCCCTCCAGCCCCGAGACGCGCCTCCGTGCCCCAACGTCGGAGAAGGTGGCGAGCAAAGGCGTCAACGACATGGAGAGGACCGTAGTCGTCACCTGGCACCGGCGTCTGCGTCAACGTCAACGCCGCCGGTGGAAGAACAGCAGGACGTGACGTTCAGAAGCGGTTGAGGTGGTTGAGGTGGCGCGGGCATGAAGCGGCGGTTTGCTGGTGGTCTGAGAAGAAAACGGCGCGTGGGTTGAGGTGGGGGGAGGTCTGTAGGGAAGGCTGGTGCAATCTGGCAACAGTGATGTTGGCAAGGTGATGCAAGTGTCTAGAGTCCACCTCCTGCACACTGCGAGGGGTCGTTTGAAGGAGCTAGGTGGGCTGGGTTGTTGTTGACTACGGTGGGTTTGGTCCGATGGACCGGCATGACTCCCGTTGTTGCGACCTTGAATGATCACTCTTGGTCGTTGCATGCCGTTGCATGTGCTGGGTGTTGATGCGCAGAATGTAAGGCCACAAATGCCTCCACGATGCCAGGGCGAGAGACGCCCATGGTTTTGCAGCACTTGAAAAGGTGCCGCTTGCGGCCATGTCATCTGGATCGCAAGCATGCGTACCAGAAGGCAAGGCAGCAGTGAGGTTAGGCTTAAACGATGAGTTCATTCTCCAAGTCCCTGGGGGCAGGAAACCGGTTCTGACCTGGCTGATCTGCGCGAGCATCAGATCGACGCAGCTCAGAACATATTCAGCAAGTGCATCACACCAAATAAGTGTTGCAATTTGAAGTCTGCCGCAGGACGCGCCCAAGAAAGCAAACGAAGAGTAGCCGCATCGCACTCTGTCGCTAAGTTTCCGCCTTTCTGATTCACTGCGCTCACGTCTTTCACATGATCAAATTTGGGATCGTGTACATCCTTCGAATCCTAGCAGCAGCAGCAGCAGCAGCAGCAGCAGAAGGAGTAGTAGTGGCACCACCCTCTTCTAAATTCTATCTTCAAGTGGGTGGCACCAAATTTTACAATGTGTTGACACATCGTCTGCTACCTTGGAATGGCACCTTCCTCCTCTACATTCTTTTTTCGGGTGGCTCACAAAAGGTCTGCGCCGTTGGAATGGCACCTTCCTCAAAAATCTTTATGGATCAGCCCGCTGGCGGATCTGCACTGAAACTCAAACAACTGCAGTTGAGATGGTTTGAATTCAGTTGTTTTGGGAAGTATCCCTCTTCCTCGACCCGTTTGTCTGGCATCATCTTGTTCAAGGTTCACGGCCATACACGTACCAAAAGAGGTTGAAGCACCCTTTTGTCTATCCCAGGCCAGGGTACTCCAGGTGACGGGTCCTATGGTCCCGGTCACTGTCCACCTCTCGTGGTACCACCAAAAAACGTTCAAAGACCTATCCCAGAAATCGCGTCTTCCATGAAACGGTTGCTCCTTCGAGTTTCCTTCAGATGGTTTCAGCCATGTTTCAGCAAATGGTTTACCCAGTGGTTAGATTCGGGGAAGAACCACGCGGCGAAAGCAACAAAAGAGCCAAGAAAGCAAAGGAAGAACACGTTTGGTTTGGGGCCGGCATGGGTCTTCAATTCAAATCTCTTTGGGTTTGTGTTGGGCTTTCACTTTTTTGCGGGTTTTTGTTGGCTTGGGGCTTGGGGCCTCTCTTCTTGAGACTTGGTCCTTTGGTGGCCCCAAAGCCAACCCAAGGACCAACCGGACTAGCATGGGACCAGGCGCACTGGGGGAGGACATCCGACCTGCCGGATGGAGAGGGGACCTAGGGATAGGGGGGGGTCAAAGGACCAAGGAACCGGGGACCAAGGGTCCAGGGGATTTAGGAAACCAGTTTGTTGTTGATTGTTGATCATTAGTGTTCTTCTTGATGCTTATCATTATCTTTGATGCGTATCAGGTTTGATACGTCTTTGATACCTATCCCGATAGCCTGATCCCCACTCTTGCAGTAATGGACCAGGGCTTCGGCCCCTCAGATCACCGAGGAAAACCCCCCACATTCCGAGTTCACTTTCAGAGAAGACGAATCCCTGTTCACTCATGTCACTGTTCCTCTTACTGACTCGTATACCTACTGTACACTGTACATGTGTTTCTTTGGTCTTCATCCCCTGGCCCCGATCCTCCGATCCACCCCGGCGCTCACGTCTGACTCCGAGTCCTGGGGGGTCCTGAGGGGTCCTGGGGGTCCGGACGAGCACATTCACCTCGAAGCAGCCAGTTGGAGCCAGCGGTCACCGGCTTCGCCAGTTTTTCATGTTGCCACGGCGCTTCGTTTGACCGGGGGGGGGGTGTTCCAAATTGCATGGGTTTGCCGAGTCAAATGACTGGACCGTCATGGACTGGAAGATATGTTAGATCATTCACCGGGTATGTTCGATGGCAAGGTTGACGGTTTTCTTGATCTTTTTCCCCTTATGGTTCGACAAACGCAGGTCGTAGATCGGTGGTGGCTGTGCTCACACACTTTTGTGCTGTAACATCTGTGCCGTTCCAAAAAAACTGATGGTGTATTCCCCTCAAACATTGCGTGGATTGTCATTGAGTCTTATAGGGATAAAGGATGATAAAGGGCCTCACACGGGCACGTGCCATCTCCAGCGTGACCGGTTGTGCGAGACAAACACCGCATGGAAAGCACCTTGGCTGCACAAAGCAAGTCAGAGGTCGACACTTCGTGAAGCCAACCCAAACCAACCATAAACTACGACATGGACCTGGAAAAGACATCAAAAACACCAAAGACCTGGAAAAGCAAAAACTGCTGTTTTGGGCACATCGTCGAGGTCGGTTATGGCTGGTTAGTATGAGAGAGGCGCGGAACACACAAAGAACTGCGCCCAAGGTGAACACAGAGGACAAGACAACCAAAAGACCAGCAAAGGTTGACCCACTCAAACAATTTGAGTGAGTCAACCTTTGCTGGTCTTTTTGTCCCCTCGTTTGACTCAAACATCTCAAAAGGTGCCCTTTTGACATGTTCTTGGCCAGTTGAATGGCCAGCTGGCAAGCCCAAAGCAACTGTAGGCTTACTGCATTAAAACGTCCTGAGTCCTGGGCCTTCCAATTCTTCGAAGCCAAAACATGGCCAAGTACATCCAAATACCATGAGTCTCCACGTATTTCCTTTTATTTCCACCGGATTAGGTAGGCCAAGATGTCTCGTGCACTTCCACGCCCTTCCACGCCCCGGTGGCCCAAACGCCGCACTCACCGTGCGACTCGGCTCCCGCACCGTGCGGGGGTCCAAGACTCCCACCTGGTCGGCGCAGGCTCCGCGTGGCTCGCGGAGGCGCGCGCGCGAGCGGAAGCGGTAGGGGTCGGCAAGGCTTAGGCGGCCAGGTTCTCGGCGGGCGGCCACAGGGACTCTCAGAATTGGTAGTTAAAACCGGTTTCTGAGATTGAGAAGGGAAGAATATGGAACATCTATCGGAAACCCATGGAGAAAAACATCCCATCAATTGGGAGATGACCAGCACCACCCAAAGGGTGGTTTATAGACCACCCTGACTATGTATTTCCCTTCCGGTACGCATCCTTTAGGTGGTGCTGGTGAAGCACAAATAACAACAGCCCAAAAGAACCATCACAATTCCATCATAACTCCCATCCTGCACCCACAGGCCATCATTCGCTCCCATCCGTTTTCCTACCAGACACTCCATGTATGGAATATTAACCTACATTGGGGTGGTTGACCTGGGGTGAACGTATGTGAATATACCATGGCCTGGGTCTCATGTCCATCATGGCCCCCCCACATCACTCCCATCACTCCCATCCGGCACCCACGTTCTCCGTCCGTTGGACTCTCTTTCTTCTCAGCGCTGCTGCTTGGTCGAAGCACGGCAGCGCAGTCCAGGCGTCCCAGGCAGCGGCGGAGGCCTCGTCGGCGGGTTCCAGGGTGTCCTGGGCGGTGGATGGCAGGTGTGGAGCCAGGTGGGGTTCAACATGGAGAGATCCAGGTCCTGGTGGCTGCTGGGTGGTTTCAATGTTTCAGATGTTTCAATTAACCCTAAACAAAGATGTGAGGTTAGTGGGTTCTTCTTCATTTCAAGTAAAGGTCGAAAAATCAGAATATACAGTACTCAAAACAACCACCCAGGAACCCAGGGTGGTTCACCACACCAATAGAACTCCTGGAAGACAAGGGCACGGACGATGAGTCAGCACATGCCTTCGCTGACAGGCCACAAAAATTGTTGGGCTTGTCTTGAAGCCAGCAGGTCCAAAAACCGGGCTTCTTTCATGAGGGTAATGATCATCCACTTCGTCGACATGCACTTCATGACATCCCACCAACGGCATCCGCACCCCGTCCCTCAGCATCGTTGCCATGTCTCTAACACCTTCGCTAAGTCATCGGGCAGCGCCGCCCGGACGCTGTGCCGTGTGCACTCCAGAGCCGCCAGCTCCTAAGCTCCGGTCGAGTTGGCGCGTGCGTCGTGGCGCGTGCGCCGAGCGAAAATGGGAGAGCGAGGAGGACGAGTCTCGTCTCGGCGGAGATGGCGCAGCAAGGCAACATGGCAAGTACCAGGGCCCTCTGGCCATGGGGTGTCCATTCATACAGTAGCTTGTTAGAGGTTGACGGTTAAGGGGTATCCATTAATCACCCCGACTGTGGATCCTGGGTACTGTGTGCGTTTTGGAAGGTAGGTGCCCCGTGCCCCGCTAAGCGGTGGATGTTGACGTGCGAGTCAACATCTTCTTCTCAGCAAATCTGAGAGGTCTCCCAATTTTTTGCAACTCACTCTTCCGGCTTTGGTTGGAAATAATATTCAGATTATGTAGCCAAACTTTCCCCTGTTCTTGTTGAGTGGGAAAACCAGCCCCCCAAAAGGTGTTTCAAGCTTATCCACTGACGTCGAGGAAGGCATTGTTGAAGTGGCTCCTGGATCCTCTCGCGGCGAGGTCCGTGAGGTCCGAAGAGACCGATCCACCTTTTGCCGACGGTCGACATCCAAGACTTATAATGTAGAGACTCTTGAGGAAAGAGATAAACATTTGGATTGAAAAACCTCTGTGTCAAGAGTCTACATGGATTTGAATTAGTTGGACTGTTGGGGCACGGAGAGGATTCAGAACCTCGAAAACTGATCCGTGACATGTGAATACATGTGACATGTCCGCCTAGAGGAGCAGCAGGAGGCTGACAAATCAATAGATGGGAACTCGGCACTCTTCCATCCACCGCCAATAGTTTGATCCACCTTTCCTACAAGCTTGAATCATCTCGACAGACCCACTGAAAGACAAGAATCATCTGAGTTGGTGTCAAAGTGACCAGCTCCCAAGATCTGCCTTCTCTGATCTTCCTTCCTTTAACGATCCAGACCTCCCTCTTGGCTTCAAAATGCCCAAGACTCCCCAGATCTCCCCAGATCTGCCCCTCCCTAAACCCAACCTATACGATCCAGATCGCTCCAAGCGGCCAGGAAGTATCGATGGAGGAAGGTCCTGCTACACCAGATTCGATCCTCAGATTCGACCGTCTCGGCCAATGAAGCGGTATGGTCATGGTCGGTCCCTCAAGAGGCCCGGGGGGGACAGGCATCGGCCTCTGGAAGTCCAGGATCATGAAAAAAATTGGAACAACCTGGTTTCGTAGTGTAAGATCCTTAGTAAAAATACGGGTGGCTCGGTTGGAAGCCATTCAAGTAATGATGGTTGGAAGCCATTCGGCCTAGGAGTGCTGATCTTCGGCACGACAAGCGTGACAGGTTTGTGGTGCAAAAAGGGTCTGTGAAAGGCCTACCTTCAGCTTCCATTTGAAGCTTATTGTGTTTGTTCTTGGGATGGGGGTTGGGGGGAAGTGCACCATCACCAGTGCGCAAGAGGATGCATATGTTGACGAGAGCGGTGGGGTCCAGCCAGCCCGTTTCCCGACCAGTCGCCGGCCAAACGTGCTACATGAAACCCCCAGTCAGCAGTCAGTGCGATGCAAAAGCATTGGTCATTGGTCTCTAGCTGCTCAGTTTCGGGAGTTCACAGGATGCTCGTCCAAATCAATCTCCAAAACAATCACCTTTTAACTTTGTCATTCCAGGATGCTCGTCGCAATGGGATTTGCAGGGAATTCCCAAGTCTTTCTCATGGTGAAGGAAGTTGTGAATGCTGTACATAGGTACATGCCACAACCCAGCACATGCTCTCCAAAGCCTGCCACGAGCAAAAAAGTGGGCTAACCTAAGCAGCAATTGGTGGTTTATTGCCTTGAAAGCTTCACATCCAGCATGCTGAGCCAAAGATCTTGCTCAAACTTCTCGTTGGCATACTTCCCATCACACACCAGTGGATGTCCAATGTGCGCCATATGGGCTCGAATCTGATGCCGGCGCCCCGTCAAGATTCGCAGGGCCACGATACTGAGGCAGCTCTCTGCCTGAGGGTGAAGGGTCTGGCGGAAGAGGGCTCCACGGTCACCTGTGGGCACCTGCCATCATAAACTGAGACCAAGACAGGTATACACCTTGCAAACCTCATCAAAGACCTATTCATTCAAGTACAGGGATGTGGAAAAAATTGGAAAATGGGCGCCCTTTGTGCCAAAATGGGTGCTCACAGAGGTGGCTCCATCTTCCAATGTCCATGCGAGTGATTTGCGGTCTATGCGAGTGATTTGCAAGTTGTGTTGAGTTCTACCCTACCTGAAAACCTGCAGAGAAACCTAGGGTGCTCCCTACAGGTCTATGAACTGAAGGTTTTTGGTTTTCCTGTCGACTATGTCTGGAGGGCTGTGGCGTTCACAGGAGCCCCCGCGGAAGCTGCAATGGCCTCTACGGTGTCAAGAGTGCTTCCCATCTGTATACGTACAGGAATGTGTTGATCCAAATGGATGAAGCCCAGCCACTCACGATAAAGTTTTGGAAAAATCCTCCCTGCTATCCATTCAACCCGAGCTCGAGGCCTCCTCTTTCCTCCTGCAATGCGCCAAAACCTGCCAGCCAAGCGGCCAAGAGTTGAACGCAGCCCCTCACCGAGCTTGGTGCTCCCCCAAACATATGGCCCAGCAATCCCTCCCTCCAAAACGCTTGAAATGATGTTTTTCAGGTCGGTGAGGTATGCCTTCAAGGTTCGGTTTTTCACGGCAGGTAGGACCTTCAAATCCATCAAATCCAGACCGGCTTTCCGGGGTGCGCCGCCCCGCGCTGCACGTGCACCGCCACTCTCTGCCCAGGTCTTCTCTCACTCCGTCGAACGGTCGAAAGGTCGAGACCGAGCAGTCGGTGATCGCTGGCGACCATTGAAACGTCTGGAGGCTAAGGACTGAGTGAAGGGAGCGCCTTTTGACCAGGCACATGAGTCAGTTGGCTATCCCTGCCGACTATGTCTAGACCCGTAAGTCCTAAGTCATAAGACCTCAGTATATTATGGCTATTCCATCTTTTCCACATGTTGATGGAACTCCCACGGGGACGGGAGTATCTACAGACGGATCCTGCCTTGTGCATGGCTTCCTAGGCTGGTGAGTGGTGGCTCACTCGGAAAAATGCTCACCCATTGACTCACATTTTTCCGAGTGAGCCACCACTCACCAGCCTAAACAATATGGTCCAATCATCCCAAGTAAACGTTGAACATATAAAATTTTGGTCTATCCTACTACCTGTAACCGTGGATGATGGTGGTTAGTAAAGGCCTTGTTCAAAAATAGATAAAAATAGTACTAATTGTTTACTGACTGTTACAGGTAAAAACAGACAGACCCAATTTGACCCAAAATAAAACAATCTGAAAGCACCACCCAACAAAGCTCACCCTCGACACGTGCACCACCCTCAACCATGCAACACAACCGCGATCTGTCCAGTGGATCACCCAACGTCCACACTTGCGGAGTGGGTCTTGCGTGGCCATTTGCGCAACCTCTCAGCTGAGCTCCATGGAAAAGAACCCAACAAAAACTGAGAGAAGCTGTTGAAGACAAGCTCCCAACAGCCTTCACTTCAACCATCTTCAACCAACAAACCCCCAGAACGCTGCCGACCAACCTGGCTCCTCCACACCTCCAGCTTCCTCCCTCTCAGCTTCCCCAGTCCGTTCTTCCCACCTTGGTCCTCGTCCGCGCGGGCCGCCCGAAGGCTGCCACGCTCGTCGGCAGCGAGGTGCTGGGCATCCAATGGAGCGGCAAATCGATGGAGCGCAGCTCGGGCGACACGTGGCCGTGGCACAAAACCAGGTAGTCCTCGGCGTGGGCACGTGGAGCTCCTCCACCGTGGAGGCCAATCGGATCGATTCTTTGGAGGCTCTTCATCATGA